CATTAGTGAAACACGGCACCCATGTGAAAAACCAGTTCTTTAACAGTGAGACATGGTTGCTAGTGAGGATGATGACTGTATATTTTTGGATGAAAGTGCACAGGATCAAATTTTGTTTCCCAAATTTGTTCCCAACACATTTGCAAATATTTAAGTGTTTGCATAAAGGAAATTAAAATCACACTTTTTACTTTAAATTTCAGATGAGCTTACCGTGTCAGTCTTCCAGTGCTTTTATTCAAAATAAACACATTTAATAATAATAATCTGAAAATATTTGAACTCTCTGCTCACAATTTGAACTGTAAAAATTGAAAATACATCTGAGATCAAATCTTGGTGTGTAAACATAGAGTTTTTCAGGTTTCTTTGATCTCAGCCTGATAAGAGTGAGCAGCTGCCTGAGCAAGATGGTTTGCCTTGTGTTCTTGACAGTGGCTTGCATGTGCTGGAGGACAGCTGTGCAGGTGGGTGGTGATGTGTCTGCATCAAATTCTCACATGTGCCTGTTTGCCTTTTGGTTCTGAGGAAGGGATAGTAGGTTTTCACTACGCAGGGTTTCTTCCACAAAGTTGGACTGAGATTTGGATTGCCAGTACTGCTGCCTGTATGTCAGGCAAAGATTCCTTTTTGGGGGGGAATGTTCATGGCAATTCTGCAGTATTCCCAGGATCTTACAGTCAAGATCTACTGACTTATATTACTATTATTTATTGTCAAATCAATGACTTGAAAGTATCATAAAGTTTAATTTCATGCAGTTGGTCACAGTCAGATATGTGTAGCTTTAGATTTGGTTGTATTACATGCATCAAGCAGTAAAGGACAGTGAACAACTCACACATACAAATGTGTGAGTTGTTCACTCTGAAAAGCAGCTCAGAAGCAAACATGGGGACGTAATTGCGAGACTGGATTCCAGTCCTGTCATTAATTGGATGCAAACAGGAGATGCTCAGATAAAAGTTGTGAGGTTAAGTTACTTCTTTTTTGCCTATGACTGCAAGATTGGTGTTTGTAGGCGTGTGATGTGGTTTCACAGTTTGGGACTTTAAAAAAATGGATCATGGTGGAGGAGCTCAAGGACAAGTTTATTGTAGTTTCTCTGTTCTGGCAACTCTGAAATCAAAATCAGCTAGTTTTATTACTTTTGTGTTTTTAGTCTCTAAAGAATGAATTCAGGAAAATAGTAAGAGCTGGCATGTGTACAAGGCTGGGCTTAATTAACACATTAGTCCCATTTAATTATACTGTCCATGAAAGTTGACAAGACTCTGGTTGGAGGCATGACCGCAAAATTATGTAGAAAAATGTGAGCTGTATTTTATCAATATGTGGTTTCTTTCCATGTAAAGTATTTATAGTAAGGAGCCTCTAATCTGCTCAGAGTAGAGAGGAAAGAGCTGATATCAATAGTTAGAAGCATGATCTGCAGTCACACAGCTTGTAAATGGAGTTTGAAATGAAGGACTAGGGGCTAACATTTGCCTCTCTATAGACAAGACAGGGTTTTGCCCTCTCCATGTCTTCCCCCTAGTTTTCCCTCTCCCTGCCTGATAAATACAGTGTATAAGGTATGTATTTAAAAAGATGTTTATACTAGAGCAGTAGACAGTAAAGAGGAAAGATCCCTTTGAGCGGTTTGTTCGTTTTGCTCATGCATGTCCCTTAGAGCAGCATTTACATAACTGGTTCCAGTGTATCACTTTTTCAGTAAAAACTCATCTGGCATAGCAGTAGCATTTCAGGGGGTTTTTTCAGAACTGAAACAGATCTTTGGACATTAAGGCAATTGCCTTGAAGTGATTTGCCCAAGTGGGTGACTCTGGGGTTTTCCTCCCACAGTAAAAATAGCTTAAATCGATTAAAGTAAACCTCTGATAGTCCAGTCAAGAAAATATGTTGTATATGATACTTCTCATATGTTGAAGTCAGTGTTGCTGTGCCAGTTTGAACCAGCTCAATATCTGACCAAAACATGTTGCAGAATGACAGATAAAATCAAAATCTGTGTCTCTCCAGGTCTAGGTTAGCTTTTCAGCAATGCTTCAAGTTGGTTCAATTCTCTTTCCACCCAGCATTTGTCTGCACCAAAATAGATCAATGTGCAAATTTGCAGTTTATTAGCTGAACTCCCATCTGTATCTCAGACTTTTTGTTACACAGCACTGTTTAGCTGCATGTTACTTCTCAGTCCTTTGTCATAAATGGATAGACAGTGTTATGATTGGACAATTTACTTATAAAGTGTAGAAAGTCTTTATATCCTTCCAGTTTTTAATGGGTATCTGTTTGCATATATGTTTTCAATTCCCATTTGCAAACTAAAATTCAGGGGTGAGTTCAGGTCCTGCTGAGGTCTATGCAACTTGGCTGTTAACATTACCAGAGCTGAGGCCTTTCCTCTAGGGACCAGAAGCTGAATGAGTCAACAAGTACAGTTTGAATTGTAATGCAATTACAAGTCACCTGTAAGTTTGATTCATACTCTCAATGCCAATACAATACTTGAACTACTTACAACAGAGCACATGCTCCAGTATTCAGTTTTTATTTGTGCTATTGGATATAAAATATAATCAGAAGCAGTGACTCCAGTGCTGTGTTACTGGTACTGAACCATGGCTGCATCTATCAGTGGTCCTGACTACTTTGCTCATTTGATTTAAAGACATGCCTCGAGGCATTGGCACTTTTGTAGTAGATGCATTGCATGCCATGTATAATAGGAGATAAAAAGAAATTGGTACTTCCCATAGTTTTAATCTGGATGCCTCAGGTGTAAGTTGTTTTGTTGTTATGTGTGCACAGAAAACTGTAAGGAAATCTCTTCACTTGCTCCTCTCAGTAAGAACATATGCAGCAACTTCTTGTTTTCCCCTCTTTAACCATTAAGCTCTGCACTCATTGTGGTACTGAGACTTCAGAGAAAATACAGGAAAAAAACCCTGCCACAGTGGTTTAAATTTCTTTTCCTTTTTGTAGTATCCAAGCAGCTAAGTGCCTGGGATAACTGACTTTATCAGTAATTGGAAAGTACTGAGTTTCAAATTTACAAAATATAGGATGATGTCAGTAGTGTGGTATTCAATCTGAGTGCTTCTGAAGTTCACAATAAATAATGTGGCAGCACTTTCAACAATGAGACCTATAAGAAATTGCTTCAAATATGTAAAGAAATGTGCACTAAATTGACAATAAATATTACACTGCATAATGTAGTTCATAAAGATTTAATCTAATAATTTCAGTTTGTTGAGAACTGTAATGATAACACATCTAAGAGTTGCTAAGTTTCGTCTCTTTTCTTAGTTAAACATCTTCATTCTGACATAGAAGTCAGCTAGGTACTACTTTAATGGTCATCTACAGTAAACTATTTTCCAAATGCAGAAACTTTGTTGGTAATAAAAACAAACCAGTGCAACCCCCCACAAAAAAACCTTTCAAACTTTTGTCTCATACATTCATCTGTGTCTAAAAGCCTTTAACAGTGTGACTGTGTAGTTAACATTTGGTGGGTTTTGCTAAGAAAGTTATTTGAGTAAATTTAGATACAATATTACATAAGTGATATTTATAATTTATCTTGGTGCTAAAACTCGGTCTAGTCACATAGCTTCCAGTTTCCAGTACACTTGTCACACATAGCTAAAAGGGAGTGATTTCATTTCTTTAACTGCATCAGTATGGTTAAAGCCACAACAGTTGTAAATGTGAAGTGGCCCTCAGACACAGTTTGCAAGTCTTACTGAAAGCTTTCAAAAGTGAAGTCAATGAGAGTTGAAGCTTCTGCATTTGTCTTTTAACTAAAGAGTGAAAGAGTGAAAATTAAAGAGAAAAAAAGCAGACATAAAAAAGAAGTCAAAGCATCCACACTGATGCTAGGATTTTGTGTGTGTCTTGGTTTTGGCATCTTTAGAACTGACTGCATATGAAGTATACATGACAACTTTAGAACTGACATAAGCAAAGTATACAGATACATGAATTTGAACACAACCACTTCCAAGTTACATTTACAGCTGTGAAAAACAGCATATATATATAATGCTGTCGTAAGTATACAGAAGGTCTATTAAGTGTCATGCTCATCGGGGAGAGGAAGCAAAATGCTTATTTTTTTCAGATTTTATGGAGTGTTTTGTAAGTTTAGGACTTCACAGCAATTAATGCAATCCCAACTAGGGTAGTTGTTCATGGTGAGTACCAGCCTACACAGTAGGATTTCAGTGTAGCGAGTCTTCATGGAAAATGTTAGTGGATTCTCCAACTGAACTGCATTTGTTTCTTCGTGAGAGACACTTAGCTTCTGTTCAAAAGGCTAATGGAGTACTGGCTCTTTGCAGCAGCTTTCATAGCATCTTCCTCTTTCAACTAGAGTCCTACTGTGGACCAAGCATCTTATTGGATACAAGATAGAAAGTACTTATATCTGAACTTAAGAACATAATGTTTAAGTAAATAAGCTGTCATTCTCCTTGTTAATTCTGCTCATTATTTATATGTGTTCTTTATAAGATGGACTCTTACGTGGCCATCATATTCTGTGTGTCACACAAACCTACACTTGTGCCCCCTAAGAAGCACAAAAACATGACAGTGAGGTCATAGAGAATTGTATTTGTCATGAATAAAAGAAATATACTACATTTCAAGGTTCTTTTTTTTTCCCTAGCGATCAAAAACTGCTTTAGAAATAATTGTTAAAATTTCCATTTCTGGTGATGCTGTGGTAAATGAGCTTTAGGTCATGATGGTTTGGTTTGTTTTAGCAAATTGAGGTATTTTTTGGTTTTTAGTGTTTTGGGGTTTTTTTCCTCCCTGTTTGTATAATAACTGTTCATAGGTTAGTTTTCTTTCCTTGTCTTAGGACTTGAGCTGCAGCAGTTATATAGAAAGGATGACATCATGAAAATTGACAGTAAATAAATATTTTTTTAAAAATAAATCCTGGTTCTACTGTAAGTGATTGAATGTGCTTTTTCTTTTTCTTACAGAACGGTTTACACAGTATGGCCCTAAAAACCTTAGACAAGCATGGAATAAGTAAGTATTTTTTTTAATTGCACTTTTGACTGTTCAAGAATAGGATACATGCCAAGCTGAAGTTATCATAGCTAACTTAAAATGGCTCTGTTCTTTTCAAATAAGCCAGTTTTGAATTGCCAGTTACCTGTAAATAGAAAGAAACTGCATAGTGTTGTATTTGCTTCTTTGGGATGTTAGTTGGCAAGTGTATTGAGCTCCTGGAGAGATGCTGTGTTACTGTTTTGGCCTGTCAGTTTTGAATCTGGTTTTCTCTGTTCATCTATTACAATTAAGATACTTTTAAATAATATGTTTCTAATCAACTTTTGAGTGTTGCTTCCACATAATCATCCCCTGTTGCCTAGTCCATCTGGTCATTGCTGTGAGCTGAGGACCATGCTCTTGTATACCTTAATTATCATGACTGAAAAAAGTCAATGTGAATTCACCACATTTTTTTCCCTTTCCTGAATGTTGTCCTATTTACATCAGATGAACATTGATATAAAGGTATTGTGCTCAAAATCCAA